TGGTTCCCAGCTGTATGTCTGTTACTGTTAGTGCCAGCAGGATGATCATCACCAATTAGCACATGCCCTTATCTCCCTCCTTTCATTTACACAGTATGGGAAACAGAGATCTGCGTACTCCGTTCCTGTTCTTGTTGCTCCAGTTCGCCCTTTCATGATTCCACAGGTGAGCTGGCTGTTCCCCTGTTTCATTCATCCTCCGCTTTGGCAGAGAGGGTTTAATCTGACAATCCTTATTTAAGCCACACGTTGGTTTGGAAAAAATGTAGGAAAAAGAAGAAATGAACCTTGAAGTAGACTGGGCAACGAGAGGCTTGGGTTTGGCAGATGTGATGTTTTAAGTTAAGACTTGGGGACGTACTTGAGAGAGTTCCTGAGGCAGAAGTGAAAGAAGTCAATTTAGTGATGGGGAAAATTGTATGCTGTTGAAGTAAGAGGGAAAGACAGAAGGGAGAGGAGAGAAGCCTTTTTTTTTTTTTTGGAACCACTTGATTTTGTACAGAGCAGGAAAATTATCTGCTCTTTGCCCCTCCCCCCCACCATATGTGTCCCTCAAGTTTCCTTTTCTGGACTTGAAAGGACCACAGAGTTGAATGGTATTCAGGCATTTGAAGTGCTGGGCTAGCCTACGCTTCCTCTATTCTTGCATTTATCGTGAGAAGTAGCAAAAGAAAAAAAAATCTAAGTTATTTGACCTGATAGAAGAAAAATGAATAATGATTATTTAATGAAAAAAAACTCTGGAAGGTAGCTTAATTAAAAAAAAAAAGCATTTAAAAAATAATTGAGGTCCAGGATCACAATTGGGTTCAGTAACTAGATTACATGCCAATCTCCCTCTGCGTCTAGGTTGAGAAACGTGGTGGGTTACTACAGCAGAACACTATTAGATATCCCAGGGTCCTGCACAGGATGAAAGAACTTCATTCAGAGGTCCGATTTCGGGCTGGCACTGTGGTGCAGTGGATAAGCTGCTACCTATGACACCAACAGCCCACATGAGTGCTAGCTGGAATCCCTGATGCTCCATTTCTTTTCTTTTTTTTTTTTTTTTTTTTTTTTTTTTTTTTTACAGGCAGAGTGGACAGTGAGAGAGACAGAGAGAAAGGTCTTCCTTTGCCATTGGTTCACCCTCCAATGGCTGCCGCGGCCGGCGCACCGCGCTGATCTGATGGCAGGAGCCAGGTGCTTCTCCTGGTCTCCCATGGGGTGCAGGGCCCAAACACTTGGGCCATCCTCCACTGCACTCCCAGGCTACAGCAGAGAGCTGGCCTGGAAGAGGGGCAACCGGGACAGAATCTGGTGCCCTGACCGGGACTAGAACCCGGTGTGCCGGCGCCGCAAGGCGGAGGATTAGCCTAGTGAGCCGCAGCGCCAGCCTGATGCTCCATTTCTGCTCCAGCTTTCTGCTAATGCACCTGGGAAGGCAGTGGAGAATGGCCTGAGTGCTTGGGCCCCTGCCACCCACTTGGAGACCCCGGGCGAGCTGATGGCTTCAGCCTGGCCCAGCCCTGCCATGGCAGCCAATTGGGGAGTGAGCCAGCAGATGGAAAATCATTCTCTCTCTGTCTCCCTTTCTGTAACTCTGCCTTTCAAATAAGTAAGCTTTATAAATATAAAAAAAAAGTCAAATTTACTTAGGATGAATTCGGATCTAAAAGTAGACAGGGAGAGTCGCAGGTACCTTTACAGCAGGCACGCACTCACGCCTGACACAGCACCCAGGTGCGCGGATGTTAGTGTGTGGGTGTCCGGCACTCCGAGCCACCACCTCATCCGGCAAAGACATCTTTTTCCCTTGTGTGGGGCAGTCGTCGATTTCTGGCAAAGGGCAGAGAGTAACTCAGGGGCAGCTAACTGGGGGATGTGAGGGGGGGCCTCTCATCCTGCAGGGAGCCTCAGAAAACCAGGAGCATTTCCGACCCGCAGTTCCTACCAAGACAGGAGCCGCTTCCACACCCCTGATGCCTACAGCCCTTCAACCAAAGCTGCTCTTCCCTTCCGGCTCCTCTCTGCACGGTGGCTGTCTTTGGCACATACGAAGCTAACACTGGGGTGGGGGAACAGGAGACACAGAAAGGCAAACAGTGCCTTTCAGGGCTCCGTGGGAACCCTTCGTGATCCTGAACTTGCTCTCCGCGAGGACCAGTCCTCTCCCCATTGCTGGAAGGAAGACAGAGACAAGAGTCGGGCTTTGGAGCACAGCAGGCCTCCGTTCCAATCCTGTCTGCAATGCTGACCAGGCTGCGGGCTTGGGCACATCTTGGAGGCCGGTTTCCTTCTGCATGCAGTGAGTTTTACATCCTTGTTTTTGCTATGGATTAGAAACAACGTCCATAAAATGATTGATACACAGTAGTGATCAATAAATACAATCCATCTGGCAGCGCTGACTGCAGGACCCAGAGGCAGCCATGCTGCCTGCTCCCACCTGAGTCCACTCTGCTCACAAATCAGACACACAAATGAGAAATAGCTACACTGGCTTCTGCTGTACCTTCTTAGCAAATGGCAGCTACTGCCTATTCTGCTGTCTGGGGGCACCTGCACAAGGTCACGGGCACAGGCGAAGGAGGGTCCTCAGCACCCACCGGATGAGGAGCAAGCACTGGAGCTGGGGGGCCTCTGGCTCCTTTCCCCACCCATTTCCAGGCCAGTCCTAGTCCTAAACAAGGTTTCTGGGCCCACAGTACCCCCTGATGGCTGACAAGAGGAACTTTCTTTTCCCAGCCAGTCCCATCTTCTAAATAAATCCACGAGTCTGGACCACTCCTTCCTGGCAAATTGCAGCCTCTGCTGCCTTGCATTTTAGAAAAGTTTCCTGCTCAGAAATCTCAGGACCATTCATTCCCCTCCCTCTTTCTTCCCTTGCTTGCTTCCATCGACGAAGGCTTACATGACTGTGATCATGCTTGATAAGCAAACAGTAGGCTGAGTTCACACACCTATCGGGAGAAACCTGGTACACTTAAAAGTAAGACAGTGTCGAGCCAGCCCCATCCCCCTCGAGAGCCCTCAGAGGCACACATCTGCCTTCCTCAGAACAGGCACGAAAGAGGCCCTCGTCTTTCTGCAACTCACAATCAGCGTGCCTCGACGTTATTTTCCCATTTATTTAACAGGCAAAATTGCACTAGTTTGTTCCCTGATGTTTCATTGGAAATATCGTTCCACTACAATAAGGGTTAAGTGCATTCCTGTGGGCTACTCTGGAAACCAAAGCACAATTTTTCAGCATTAGTTCTCTATGGGAAAGTGAATTCAAAGCTTCAAACAATTGCTTTAAAATGAGCTTTGGAAAATGCAACCTACTACAGTTTAACGTTGGAAACTTGGGGTTAGGTGTGGTTGCTTTTCAAAAGTTCCTATTTCTATCTGTATCACTGTGGCTTCTATCTGCTGAGCCATGACATTCACCAGGACCAGTACTTACAAAGGTACTCAGATGCAACTTCCCTGTACCACCAGTGATTCTTCTTTTATCAAGGAAAAAAATACACTAACCAGGCCTTGGTTTGATAGATGACAGACATGTCCTAGAAGGTTATTAAATTCACTTCCATGTTATGGTCAGCTTCTTGCTGAAAACACATCAAGTATGTCTCAAAATATAAATGCTCCTTTCCGTAACGTACATCCAATACCTTTATTTCTCAAGGTCTGAATTTAAAGTATTTTTACAATGCAAATGAGTTAGACATGAATAATTTAAATGGAAGGAATTTTATGCTTAAATGCGTAACTTCTGATTTGGAAAGTTTATCTGAAACTAGAGAGCAGTAACTTGAAGGCATCTCAAATCCTGATATAAACAACTACTTAAAACGTGTCACAAATTAACATCAAAAGGTATAATTTTTCCAATTACCAATACTAAAAATTGGTGGAAAATCACTGACTTATTTCAAAGAATGGTGAGTAGACTATTGTGAGCACATATAGACAGACATAAGGAGCATTTTCAAATGTTTTTATCAAATATTTTCCTAAGTTGTTCATAACTCAAGGCAGGTTTGCATAGGACTTTTTCTTTGAAATGATTTACATAAAACTGAAATTATTTTATTTTTAACATAAAAGGACAAAGTAACAGGTAGATATCACCTAGCCTTCATCGAACTCTGCAGAAATGGATATGTAAATGCTAATATCACAATAATTAAAATACAAAGAAATCGAGTACAATGTTGTAAAATTAGTGGTGCTTAAAAGGCATTGTAAATGGGTTGCCCATCAAAGGCCATTATTTGAGCTGGCATACTCACATTGTTCTGAAAAAAGATTATTTGTTCTCCAATAATGCATACCTTTTAAGTTCCTAAAGTTTTCATGCTATAGATTAAAACACTCAGTGTTAATGTTTTTGAAAGCATTACATTTAAATTATTTTCTCAGGACCCAAAGAGAAAACACCAGAGGAAACATAACCAGACTGAACTGTTTAAAATGTATTTTCCCTTTAATTAAATAAGAAACATCTGTCTGGGGATTTTAGAAATCAATGTAACCCATCCACACTCTGCCTGTACTAGTTTGCATCCAATGTCCAATATTTTGAAAGAAAATTCTTTCTTTCTGTAAAGAATTAAACAGCACCGTGGAGTGATGTCTGGGGCTCCCTCTGGAGTGTGGGCACAGCAAGCGCCAAGGACCACTCTTTTCCTAGGTTTATCCTGGGAAAGCAACCAAAGGCTCTCCGTAGTCAGTGACGGTGTCATTTTTCTACTCCTGCGGAGCGTCCGCTCGCCCTGATCTCCAGACAGAAAGGCAACAGAAGTTCCCGGGATGCATCAAGCACACACGGACCAAACAGGAGCATGCTCCCTTCCCCAAGGCACACTAAAGGTTTCCCTCGCCTTCGCCCGGAGTTGAAAGAGCGGATTTCTCTAGGGATCTGGGCAGCCCACAGCACAGGCACAAAGAAAGGGGGAGGTGACTCCAGTACGGCTCTGGTTCCTTCCAACCAGGGCGCACAGTCCGGAGCGACAAACATCACTTACTGGTGGTGTCGAACGGTATCTGCTTGCACTGCGCAGCCCCCTCGGCCGGCCAAGGGCAGTAATAGACGGCTCCCCCTTCCACGATGTCGGGCTGGCTGGTGTTGGCTTTGGGCGCCCCCACCAAGACGCTGGCTCTGCGAAAGGGGTTGCAGAAGGTCACTCGCGGGGAGATCACCGCACGGCGCGCACGCTAGCCAGCCTCAGCGGCGGCCTGCGAGCTGAGACGAGAGCGGGGGTGGCAGGCAGCAGCCCATCTACCGAGAGGAGACTGTCAAACCTAATTTCCTCTTGGAAACCTGGTCTCGGAGAGGGTGCCAACAGCCCCAACTCCTCTCTAGGTGGAGCTCTGTGGCTACAGCGAGATGACAGGAGAGGGGCAAGGGGTCGCAGAGGACGGAACCCTGCTGCTTGTAGCCCACACCGTGGGCCAACAGATATCGGGGTCCTTGCTAACAGCTCGGGTCGATTGGTTCCCTTTCTCTGCTTTGTAGGAAGCACCGGTCTTTGTGCCCGGGAGCTGCCCGGACTCCGCGTTCCATGCAAGTGGCTTGTCTCCAGTTCAAAGTTTGCAAGGCACATGCAACATGCGAGGGGACTGGGGGCGGGAGCGGGACGGGACTTGGAATGCCAGACCGCCACTGCCATCCGGCTGCTGGCAGAGGGGCAGGTACCAGACCTGCGAGCCGGTTCGCCCACGCGCGCGGCTTCCCGCGGCCGAGTGACTTACGTGCGAGCGTCAGGTATGTGGAAGTCCACGGCGTAGCCGAAGTAGCTGCCCTCGGGGCCTCCGTACACCGTGAGCTTCTCCACGTCCAAGTTGAACGCCTGCGAGGCGGGGGACCACAGCATCCCCAGCGCGGCCGAGAGGCACCAGAGGCTCGCGAGCCGCTGCGCCAGTCTCCCCCTGGGACGGCGGCGCGCCCCGGCAGACATTGCCCTGCGCCTCCGGCGACTGATCACCGGGGACCGGCAGCCGAGAAGCCCGATGGGGCAAAAGACGAGGATGGCGTCTGGCGGTCCCCAGACGGTCCCGGGGCCGGTGTGTGCGGCGCGTCCTCAGTGACAGTCCCCGCGTCTGCTCCCGCCAGCCCGTCCCGCCGGCTCGGGGGGCTGGCCCAGGGGATCCGCGCGCTCGCCCTCCTCCCGCAGCGGGCGCGGGGCTGGCGGGCTCGCGGCGCCTCCTAGCGGCGGGTCCCCGGACTGCGGGCCGGAGCTGGCCACTCCCGGGACACCGGAGCCTCCCGGGCGGCTTGGCGCCCGGCGCCTGTTCCGGCTGCCTGGATTTCTTTTGCCATCGCATCTCCAGGACCAGCTGGGTCTCGCCAGTGCCACCTCAAGCCATGATCCATGTAGGGCGAGGGTTTTGCTCTAAATGCACAGCTTGGCTGGAAGGTGAAAGTCGCAGGCAGGGTAAAGCTGTTATCTTTGTGTCCCCAGGTTCCCAGGTGTTCTAAGGTGTTTTAGTGGCAGATGTACACTTAGCAGGAATTTGAACAGGAGGCTCAGACTTGGGAATTGTGGTAGGAGAGGTGGAAGGAAAGTATTAAAGACACAAAGGCTGGGATTGAATGGAATAAAAGGGATTGGTTAGGGAGTGGTGAGAAATGGGGCTGGATGGCTCTCTGGCGGAGTCTTAATGAGAAGAACGTTTAGGGAGACAAAGGAAGCCAGTTCTAGAGCAGAGACAGGACAAGCCCACAGGGATTCAAGTTTCACGGCCAGGGTGGCCGAGATGGCAGTGGGAAGCTACTTGTTGAAAGGAAGAGAAAGCAAAGAACCTGTTTGCCTCAATGCATTGGGTGATCAAGACCCAATCTGGTCATCGGAAGGAAGGAAGAGGAGGTAGGAAAAGTAAGAGACAGGGCGGTGGGCCAGCACGGTGACAGAGGAAAGAGCCCGCAGTGAGTGTAAAGCTTCTACTCCGAAGACAAGGATGACAAGCCGCAGTGGGGGCAGGGTGAGCAGGTTTGGGAAGTGGGGGTGGATGAGATGCTGGCCCTGTGGACTGTGTGTTACTAGCCTGGGATCAGTACCAAAAAGCCAGGCTTTCTCATTTCCCTTACATCAGAACCCACTTGGTAGACTGATTTGAACTTGATGTCTTCACTCGTCTTGTTCCCATAAAAATACTAAAAATAAATAACTTATCAGAAGCTTCCCTGGCAAATCATCACGTCTGGATAATTTCCTAACTGGATCACTCTTTCCCAGATAAGGACTGAAGAGTACATGATCTAAGACTTTCTATCCCAGTCCAAAAGTCCATCTGTATGGAGCACACGGTCCGCTACTCGCATCAGGTGGCAATTGTTAATGAAAGTGAGGGTCTCCGCTGTATGTTCCAATGCAGGATGCACATGTGGCCTACACGTGGGAATGCTCGGAGCTGTCATGGACGCTGAGGCTAGGGAAGAACAAGTCAATCATTTCCTGACATGGCATGCTTGAAATTGGGGAAGTTATCATACTGCAGGCAAGCCACAGGTTTATGTGAAATGTCTACGTAGGTAGAAAGCAATGGCGTGACCCTAGACACGATCCTGACCCATATCATGACTGACTGGACAAAACCAGCTGTGCACGAGGGCACTTCAAAACGCTCTTAGAAAATGCAACCAAAAGATAAGCTTATTCTGGTGCAAATAAACATTGAAATCCATTCATATAAAATGGAAATGTGCGTTATGGAAACTGCATGGATTTCAAACACTGTTTTAAAGATTTATTTATTTATTTATTTGAAAGGCAGAGCTACAGATAGAGAAAGAGAGGTAGAGAGAAAGGTCTTCCATCCATGAATTGACTCCCTAAATGGTTGCAACAGCCAGAGTTGGGCCAATCCAAAGCCAGGAGCCAGGAGCTTCTTCCAGGTCTCCCACGTGGGTGCAGGAACTTGGGCCATCTTCTACTGCTTTCCCAGGCCGTAGCAGAGATCGGAAGAGGAGCTGCCAGGAGATAAACCAGTGCCCACATGGGATACCAGCACTGCAGGCGGAGGCTTAGCCTGGTACACCACTGGGATAGCCCCTCAAACATTTTCTTACATCAAACTAAACGTACCTTTCAATTCCATTTTCCACAAGCTTTTGAGTGTCCCTCGTGTTACACTATGCTTTGATTCTCACAGGACAGCCCAGTTCCAGCATACATGGTGTTTTTCCCCACTGCTTGCTTCTCTGACGTATTCCTTAGCTTTTTATTCTTTTTGTCCAAGATAGGCTAGGTAAGGGGAAAACAATTCTACTTATTGTCACATGATTGGATATAGTCGTGATTTATTCTTGACTTAAACCTTTGTATAGTCTTCATATTTTCACTTTACATGCAAAGACATTAATAGGCAAGGAGGTGCATGCTCACAGAGCAAGTAATTGCTACAGTTGTACCCAGGCCTGTCAGTTGCTGGTTTCTCATGCTGTTCGGTCTATACAGAATACTTTTTTAAGCTATGATAATAAGGAGAAGTCACTTTTCTAGATGCGCTAAACTATTCTTGGTCATGCCTGTGAGCAGCACTGGAGTGGGAGCATAAAGCAGCCGTGTACTTTTCTAAAAAGCATGGGGAAACATCTGGTGGCACCTTGGTATCCTAAGAGTGGAGGAAAAGCAATGAACTCAAGGCTCTTTGGCTTCTCTGGGAGGCCACGTGCCTAGGAGAGTAGCAAATCTTCCAAACAGCCAGAAACACACACACACACAACCCCCACTCCGGTTCCGGTCATTGCAGGGAAGGGGTGAGTCTGAACGGGTGTCTTGTACATTTCAGCACTCCTGACATTTGGGAAGCCTGCCAATCAGTAAGATCTGGGGTATCATCAGAGAAACACATGGACAGTGACAGGTCTCATGCCGGATGAGAAGCTTGACATTTTAAAGAACTACAAGCACTGATTTATCTGTCAGAAAAGCCAGTCTGGGCAGTGTTTATCGTGCATGCAAGTGTGTGTGTATGTTTCATACTGGGAAAGGTACACATGGCTGTTTCCCTAAAAAGAAAAAGAAAAGAACCCAAAGGTCAAAGATGGAACAGATTTGGCCCCACGTTCCAAAAATAAACAAGTAAAGAACACCACAGGAAAAAAATTATCCCTACGCTGTAGACATGTGCAAAATACTTAAAAATAGGGATTCACAGAATTCACTGCATTGAAGCAGTGAGCACATACTTGTTAATGAAATATATTTATGACTTAATGGCCAATTATTTTTCTGATTATGATTTCATCGGTTTCACTAAATGAATAACTATGACTATCCCTTAAAATCAAGAGGTATGGGGTGGGAGGGACGTTATGGGGGGGAAGCCATTGTAATCCATAAGCCGTACTTTGGAAATTTATATTCATTAAATAAAAGTTAAAAAAAATAAAAAAAAAATCAAGAGGTATGAGAGTACTGACATGATTATTTCATTAAGATAACCACACTTTCAGTATGCTCACTAAGCCATTCATAGAATGAGCAAATGTGAAAGTAATGTGTTCTTAAAGCCCCTTTAAAAATAAATAAAAATAAATTTATTTTAAAATAAATGCGCCAGAATGGGAAGGTAGTTCCTCAGTCTTTTGTATTTTGGGTGATTGCAGATTTTTCTTTTGTCCAACTGTCCTCAGGTTTCCTGCAGTAGTAAAAGCAACCAATTGGTAGAAACTGGTTTCTTAAACTCACTGAGCGGAAACAACTTTGAAATCCCTCAAGTGTCTCTGCTGACATAAGCTTATGTCTGCAAATTTTCTATTCTGGTCCCTGGAGGCTGAATTTCATCATAGCAAAATTATTTTTTTCCTTTTTGATGATTTTGTTTGTAATTCTCTTTTATGATTTCCCGTCATGATTTTATTAGCCACTTCTAAGTGAAAAGTGCTGCGGCATTGGCCCCCGTACTGGCAGAAGTTCAAGTGCAGCCTGCAGTCGGTTCAGCCGAAGGAAAATTCCCACTAGCCAGAACCAGACTCCAACTTGATCTCTTTTTAGAATCAGCCTTTAAAAGCAGCTCTGCCTTGAACAAAAATAAAAACAAATAGAACAACCCTTCCTCTAAAGGGAAGGTGACTGCGGAGCACTGGCACTGGGGATAACTCTTCCTGAGATTCTGAGCCCCTGGGGGAGTTGAACTTATGCTCAGGAACTTGCATTATTTGCGGGTGTTAATTAGGGCCAGTTCGCTCACTCCAGAATCCTGGAAAACCTACACACATCTGATTGGTTGATGGAGTGGGTGTTTTAGTGACTGTTGACTGAAGTGATCTGATAGTTGGGTGGTGATGGGGGGGGAGGGATGAGGGAGCTCACACCTTCTTAGTCATAAATGCAGAGTCTGGAAGAACTGGGGACCCCAACTCCCCAAGGGCTCATGTTTCAGTCCAGTGCAAAACGGAGGTATAGGAATATATTCAAGGGACTTTTTTCTTCCTCTAAATCTCCACTGGGGTTGAAGGCGGCGCCGGGCCACTGTGGTCCTTGGAACAGTGGGCATTTAGAATGGGAAGAGTGGCATTCTCCCGGCTCCTGCCATCACCAGGACTGAAAGCAGAGGTCTCCTGTGAGCACAGTGCTGAGGCAGCAGCAGCAATGGGTGCAGATTCTGGGTAGCAGGCGGCTCTGGCCTCCTGAGGACACCACAGGATCCTTCATTCAGCCCCTGGGGAGGCTACCAGACTGTAGGAGAACACCGAACATCTCCCGCAAAGAGCTGGGAAAGTCGCCGAGGAAGAGGGCGATGAAGGCCCTAGCACGTGGAGCGACAGGGTGAGTGTGTTTCAAACTCCAGGCTGGTGGCTGTGCTTACTCCTCTCTGCGTCGCGCTGCAAGGATGTCTCCGACTGCCCTCTAGCGTCTGGGAGCCCATCAAGGGTGTGGGATTTTCCATGAATGGTAAGTCTTCCTCGTGAACAATGGTTCAGCCTAACAATAATTTAAATGACCCTTACAAATGGACTCTTACAGTATTTTTCATTTAAAAGTTTCCAAATAATGACTTGGTCTCTCTCACATTAAGAGTTTTCTTATAGTGGCTTTGCAAATCCTTATGTGTAATTTAAAAAAAATTTAAAAAAAGAGACAGGAGAGAAGGAAAAGGAGAGGGAGGGAGGGAGCAAGCAAAGAAGAGAGTTTCTCATAAAAACAATACTTAATATTTCCTAACTATTGGTGGACACCAAATCAG